CTGACTTAGAGATAGAAAGTGGGAAAGGGTGTAAGACAGGAGAATTTGGAAAGAAAAATGTGGCCTTCAGTTTCTGTTTGTTTTTTTTTTTAACGCCAAACATTTGCTGCAGAGAGCAGCTTCTTCTTTAAAAAAAATGTCTGTAAATGGTTCAGCATGTTAATTTTACTATCCTGTTTATTGGATGCTTGTATATACCCAGCCAGGCCCGAGGGGAGGTCAGAGAACGCGCCACCGTTGGGATTTCTCATTGTTTTAAGCTGTCTTTGTTGGCCACTGCAGCCGCCTTCGAACCTGCTGCAGAGCCTGTAGGGCTGCATGTCTGCGTCGTCCGCGCCGTTCAGAGGCTGCTGTACAGATTGTAATAACACTCCTGTGCTTAAGTGTTATACTTTGTGCTGAAAATGTGTTACAATAAATACACGTGCATTCAACAAGCTGCCTGACTTGCTGCCGTGCGTGGCCAGAGGGGCTGACAGCTGCCAGGGAACTTACAGAGTTAAAGAAGAAAGAAAAAAATTTTAAAAAATCCCAACTCCGAGAGGCCTTACAGTAACGGATCCTTCTGGGCGGCAGCGAGCTTCCGCAGCCCGAGTCCACTAAATCATACTGCGCTCGTTCAGAGGAGGGCGCCTGCTCCTCAGCCTCTGCTTACAAAGACTTCCTCTTCCATGTGTCATTTACCCGATTTCAGCCGAGTTTGGCTCGGGTGCCATTCATGACTGTCGTTGCTACGAAAGTAACTTGCAAGGGAAGCAGCTGAAGTTTCATTGAGCCGTTCTAGGTTTCTAGAAGGGAGCCTGCGCAGTTCTCTGTCAGTCTGTTTCGTGGCTAAAGATGTCATTACCGATAGAACCCACTTCCCTGTCAACACACACGTGAGCAGCTTTGCTACCGGGGCCCCGGGAAGCCCCGGGCCCTTGCCAGGGCCTTCTACCACTGTGAGTTAATCGAGTTGTTAAACCAGGCAGGTGATGCGAGCCCTGCCTGGGGCTGCGGGGGACAAGAGCAGCTCTCTGCCAGAGCAGTGAATGACACCACGTTAGCTAAAGCCTGAAATATCTGAAGAAATAGAGCCGGAGTCGGGTTAATAAGAACGTGCAGCTCGTTCTTTAGCAACTTGAAGTCAACCGCCAAAACTTGCATCTCACAAACCCCGTCACCTCAGCAACTGCAGAACAGCTCGTAACCTTCCAGGAGACATGAACGAACGCCCTCCCCTAGGGAGGGGATTATTCAGTGTCTAGACAAACAGCTCTAGCGCTGCTCTGGCAAACCCGTAATTGTACTTTTTGTTACCCTCTGTCCGTTAAAACACTCGAAGCTTAGTTCTGCATCTATATTTCATTTGACATCTGACTGCAGCCTTGCTTTTCTCCGACTCCCGCAGTAGGCAGCTACGGTATTTCTGAGCACGCGTCTCAAATGCCAACGTAAGCTACATTTCATGGCTGCAGTCTTTTATCAGTTGTTCTTGCAAATCACCTCATTTTCCCCTTATTTTACCCTTGCTGATAGCAAAAAAAGGGGAGATGAAAGAACTACTCATGCATTGGACTGATGGAGCTAACCTCGGTATTGAGATTACCTGCTCCCTCCCCCCGGGTCTTCGGGGAGCAGTGGGGAGTTCAGTTTACACGAGCCGCTCTTCTTCCCTCGACTCCTCTCACGGCCGGACTACGGCCTCACGAACAGAGGGATCATTTGGACGCAGCCGAGCTGCGATACACAGACGGCAAGTACTCTGCACCACCTGCCCCATGCTCTCGCCTTACGATGCATGTGTCGTGTCTCAGCCCATGGGAAGGGGAATTGGCTCTTCCTTGGGTGATGCAGGGCCCAGGTACTGCACGCGGACCCCACGGCTTTACCTTCACGAGCTCTCGCTGGCGAGGCCGCAGCCTTGCTCTGCTGCCCACTGGCGCCGGGGGCACATCTCCGCCCTCCTGAAGGGCCGGAGGACGCGGCATCCTGTGCACTGGGACATGTCCAGTGACACAGCCGGCACACGTAAAGCTCGTTTTATTTCCTTCCCAGTTATTGCTCAGCTTGGCTTCAGCTGCCAGCCCTCACTCACTCATTTGGTTGTGCTGTTTCTATTTAGAGTTAGCAATGCTAATACTGCCTAAGAGAAATCAACCTTAGAGCCAGACAGACACCCCCTCCTATTCACTGTTTCCCAAAAACGTGGAGACTAGCAGACTGTTTCATAAACAGTACTGAATTGTCCTGAACTGACAGGGATGTCAATTAGTGCTGGCAAAGAACAACTGAAATTCCCTTAAAAGAAAACAGCAATCTGACCTTAGGAGAAACCCCCTCTATATAGCTGCTTCAAGTGAAATTATCAGCCAGGCGTCGCCTCCTCTGAGCTGTACAACTGCAAATCCTCATTGGAAACAGGCTCGTCTAGGAGCCGTGGACTGGACTAACAGGTGACGGAGAAGCTGTCCAGAAGCTAGCCAGGGTTTTTGTCTCAGCTAGAGAGACGCGCACGCTGTTCACCAACCCACCGTATTAAAATGGAATTGTAAATATCCTCACCCAGACCTACAGAAATGCATCTGGTTCTCAGATTGTTCAGCGAAGGGAAACGTTACTGTGTTTCATACATCTGCACGTTCACGCGTGCATGCACAAATGCATTATTTGCTGGGCTTGCAACAGGTTTAAACAATCGGTATCAAAAACATCTGCCAAGACTTCCAGTTAAACCACAGCATTCACCATGGGCATGACAAGCTACAGCGCTCTATTAGAGGAAATATCTCCCCCAAGCTTCTAGTTCTCACGGCCTCCTGCTGAAGCGGGGGAAAAGCAAGAACCACCTGCCTTTCCCAAGGACGCCAACGAGCCCCACCAGAACAGCGCATCTCCCTTCCTCCTCAAATGACCGAAGAAGAAACCCCTCACCCCCTCAGCCTCTGTTCAGTGCCAGCTGGAAAGGTACAAGTTTGAGTGATAAAACTGTGTCTCGGAGTGACCCGACGGGAAGTGGCTGTGTGGGACGGGCACTCAAAGGTACAGGCAGAGCCAAATTAATACTCCAAATACCTGAAAATTCCAGTATGAAATAATATGAAACAGAAAACAAAACAAAAAACCCCCCCAAGTACCGTGAGTAAGCGTGTGCCGCCACGGTTGTGGCTACAGCAGCTAGGCACAAGCGCCCCACTGGAGCAGACTTACTCCTCGTAAATTTTACAGCTGGACACACAGCCGAGGAGAATAATGAGGGGAACGACAGCAGCTTAGGGGAGTTTTGGGCTGTAAAATTTATATCCTGCTGAAACAGCAAGTCACAGCTAAATTCCCGTTCTCAACTGGCAACGCTTGTGGTAAGGCAGGAAGGTCAGTGGGGAGCAAGGGCAGAACGCCTCAGCAAGTCAGGGAAGCTGTTTTATTGGGAAAGAGAAGCGACAAAACCATTTTTCTTCTTCTCTGGACGATCAAAAGGGTCCTCTGAAACCGTGTTTCTGGAATTAAGTGTTTATTTAAATATGTGGATGATTTCCCTTTCATTGTTACAAGGTCAATATTCGCTTTCAAATGGAAGCACTTTATTTGGTTGAATTCTGTCTCCAGAAATGAATGGGCAATACCAGAACCTTTTACATTGGCAATGAAATCACAACACTGAGATGCCACCAAACTCTAGAGATCAGTGCTCAAACACACATACACACACATATACAAATAAAAAAAGTGCTCGACTTCATCATGTTAAAATAGAATTTGGCTTTTTAGGTCTTTTGACACTTCAGGCAGGAAAACAAAAACCAAAGAACAATATGCATCAAACTAAATGAACTTCTGAAAAATACTCAGCATTAAACACAACTTTCAGTATCAGTAAATATGTTTCTTCTCTATTTACAGGTGTTAAGAAAGGGCATTAGAGACTTTTGCCGGGGGTAATGAGATTTCGTAGGATGTACAGTCCACGCTTCTGGGCGAGATTAGTAAATTCAAGCAGAGTTTTTATAAACCAGTCGCATATTTAGTCCTTCAGATTTTGCAAAAGGTAAATTCTACAAAAATTACTCATTCGTTACCCTGAAGAAAGGCAGCGGAATGAAGACGTGTAGGCTACAATACACGACTGTCACTATTTTTTTCTTGCAGTAAGTTTTAAGATCCGGGCTTTCGGGAACTAGTTGCCAAGTTTATAAAAACTCCATACATGGTCTCCTAATAAAACTTTTGAAGAACATCAGTCAGCTAAAGCTAATGCTCCTTCTAAAGCGCTATTTAGCAACACAGACATTGCAACTGTTCAAATGTTCCACAGAGGCTGACAATAATATACTGTCCACCTAGATTAAATATATAAAAGCAAACTTTTATCTAATTTTTACATAGATGGCACAACAATAGGTGAAAATGAATTCTTCTCGCTGCTGATTCAACAGTGCATTGGACACGAGAATAAAAATACTGCAGCTAAAAATATTTTAAAGATATTTTTGCACACCTGTTAACTGCTTAACCATTTAGATCCCGACAGATGGACGCGACAAAGCCTTTGCACAGATCTTTGTACAAAGCCGCAAGTGCCAACCGTGTGGATCACATTCTGCCATCGGAGGCTCATGGATCTAAGCAGTTTAAGCGACCACAGTAGCAGCAACGATAAGGATGGTAATTTAATTGATTATGACCCTTCCGACGCCGCTGACACTGTAGCTGAACGGCCTCAGTGTTGGTATCACCCGCTTCTCAGTGCGGGCTCCTGAGCCACTTGAATTGGATTAAAAACCATAACCCTTTGCTGGTTGATGCTTGCAGATATTAAGCACCGTAATACAACAGCTACAGCTGTAGGACTGAGGGACTTTGTGCTATTAAAAATAAAAGTTGGTATCTCGAATGGAGAGAAAGGGACCGAGTTATGAACACGACACGTAACCCAACTCAACAATTACTTCATCCTGAGTGGGGACGGCCTAGGCAGTCCCCAACATGGAGAGTGCTTGATTCTTGGACACATTTCTATATGCTGACCCCGCATAAAAACGCAGCAGGCAGCAGAACAACACACACGTGTTTGTCTGCAAACTAAACCCGAGAGGTTTCATTTTAGGGTCACTGCCCGTAGTGGCTTCCATATCAATTTTCTCAAATTCTGGAGATTTTACAAAAGACAAAGTTCCCTAAGAGCAAGTAGATAACCCCAAATGATGTGTTGATCTATGAATAAATTAGGCCCTCAGGAGCTATTAAGTAGCAACTGATTCTTACGGGGCTCAAAGGTGTACAGGATGACTGTAAAATCCTAGCAATGGTGAAGATTGAGGGGAAACCAACAGTTAGAATGTAGAAGTTTAGAAAGCAATTGAGCCTTTCTTAGGCAGCTGAGGTCCAGATCATGTGATATTTGGAGATACTATAGCTCTCTCTCCACTGCATGACACGATAAAGTGCAGCATCACTTATCATGCTACTTCTGCTTCAAATAAAACCATGTGAGAACAGGATGGCTGATGAAGAAGTCACAATATTCCTGTCTGGCTTCTGGGTCGAGGTCCAGTCCATGACAAGGTGGGACAACGAAATAGAGCGCGGTTTCTTTTTTTCTTTTCTCTTTTATTTTTCTAAAAAAATTCTGTTATTCAAACATTAACTGATGAGAATGCACAAGATGTCATGCAAAAGGAGAAGGCAGGTCTGAAATGCTGAAAAACAAACCAACAAAAGAAAACTGCAGAGAGATTAACAACGAGCCACAAAATAACGTGACCCTCGGGAAGGTGGGCGCAGGCAAGGCAACAGGGCGAGCATGCAGACTGAAACGAGAGCAAAACGGAGGCCTTTGTGACAAGCAAAATGGGGCTTCAAACCAAAACGCCAGTGTCTGTCTGTGTGTGTCTGTGTGTGTGTGGTGAGAGAGAAAGAGGGGGGGGGAATAAAGAGGAGGGGGCAGAGAGAACAAGCAGGAAAACAAGCGTACATACGTGAGCTTGAAGGCTTTCGGGAAACAGCAAGGTCATAGGGATTTAATACTTGGAGTGAGCATCAGCCTAGATTTAAAAAAAAAAATAAAGGCTGACAAGTATTAGTGACCTTTTGGGGAAAGCAGAATATTGACTAATGCCTAAGGATCAAATTTAATACCGCAAATTCAGAGCCCAGTCCAGCTGCTGTAACACTGTTCCCAGGGGAGGCTCTCCACGTGAACGCACCTCCTTTCCAAGCCATTTGATGAGACTACCTGCAGGGTTAGCACTAAAGGCACCACGTGAAATGCTGACGGACCAGTGCACACGTTCAGATGGACTGAGGGACAAGGGAGGATAGAAGATAGATCAGTACATGCTTGGGACTCTCTGGTTACCCTCGGCATCAAAGGGCAGCCAGCAGTTCTTTGACCGGTGTTGGGAGGTTGGGTGGGGGGAAAGCGTTGGTTATGTTTTACGGAGGGGCTGTGCCAAGCTGGCAGAAGAGTGGGAAAGGCTGGTAAGTTGATCTGAGCCACAAGTAGCATGCCATGAAAAAGAGCAAGCATCGGAATGGTACTGGGATGGAATTTAGGTCTGAATTTTTCAAGTGGGAACTCCAGACAAGACTGGGAGTCTGGCTTTCCATGGGCGTGTTTTAACTGCCTGCAGGGTAAACAGACCATTTTGTTTCTCCTTCTGTGACAAGCTCGCCCCGAGGTTCTTGCACCAGCACAAACACCTTTAGGAATCTAAAACATAAGAAAGACAAAAAGAAAGAGACTGGATTAGAAAGAGGCTGGGGAAAACGGGATCCCTTAAGAGTAGTACTGCCTGCAGGAGGTTAAAGGAAATACAGCATCCAAGCATCTACCAGGTTACAAGGGGTTAAGGAAGGCTCCTGAACTGGGGCACACATTGCCAGCACTCAAACAGCGATCATTCACCCTCAGCCCTTCCCTCCAGCCTGGGGATGAGCATCGCTGGGACACTGCTTTCCTCTGGGAGGAGGATGTAAAACTCGGGAGCAGGACCCTGCCAGCACTTTCTTAGTGCAACAGAGAAAACAAACGGCTTTTTAAGTTTCAGTCTGCAAAGGAGAACTGTATCTGCTCAAGCGACAGCTCCAGAGACCACAAACGATACTGAAGAACAACAACAGGAAGGTAAAACACAATTTTGCAGACGAATGCAGACTAGCTATCCTTTCCACAATAGGCTGTAAAGACCTTTCATTCTTAAGGGAAGTCCAGAAATAAACAGGTAAGTGAAATCAGTCTTAGCCTCTAAAGCCATCCTTTGTCACATTCCCATACCCACAGACTTCTGGCTGAGGGTAAGTTTTCTCTGTGGCCAAATGAACCTACAATCCAGAAGTGTGATTTGGCCAAAGGGCTTGCTGTATCCAGGGGAATACAGGATGAGTTCAAACTTCCCTCGCATTCGAGAGGGCAGGGGAACCTTCCGACCTCCTTTGCACCCGCTTCCGTAAAAGAACAAACTCCAAATGACACCAAGAAGAAGTTTTCACAGAGCCACAACAAAACATTTTTCCTGCAAGGGAACTGCATTTGTACTTAGTGTGGGAAGCAGGTGAAAAGCAGCTCCGGGCCATTTGCTTTCCCTTATAAAGTTAAACTTAAATGAATTGCCATTAAAAAAAAAACCCTCACAGGAATGAGAAAATATAATGTTTATTAGAAGAAGACACCATGGTACATCAAGCTATAAAGAGATTCCTGACAGATGATGATTCTTTAAAAAAATGAGAATAGAAACGAAACAACCACACTGGCCAGAGTTAACAAACAGTAACACCAAACAAAAGTTTCTATGCAAGTCCAGCCAGAGGCAGGCAGCCAAGTAACCAAAAATGCTTATCAACGTAAGAGGGACTGAGTAGTTATCAAAACAACAGCTAGGTTAAGCAGACTAGCCTATAAAACCATTTATATTTTATTTATACATATATAAAAGGATAAAAACAATTCAAATTCAAGTAACTTTAGTTTTTAAGTTATGTTATATACATTTATTTTTTTTTTTATACTGGGAGAACTAAGGACAAGTATTTAACAAAAGGATTTTAAAAAGCCACAGTCCAGTTTATAATTACTGTTTCCTAAATAATTTGGCAAGCATTAAATAATCAGATACATCCTAGATAAAAAGTGCATCAGCATGGTTAACTTTTACCTATTTATTTATATAAGTCAAGGCTCTGCATAATGGTTACAGTGAACAAACAGCAGAGCTGCAACACGGAGTCACAGAGCTTTCTATAAGGATTTATTTATATAATTGGAGGTGAGGAGGAACAGACCCACAGCGGCAAAGGAGCTGAAATGCTAATCAGCCCACGGCTCCAAAATTTTTTTTTTTATCAGGAAGTTTAACTTCACAAAACAGCCTCTGTTACTCCAATGTCACCCGAACAGCCAGCCTTTCCGGTGGAAGCGAGCACGGCATTTTTGTTGGGTGCAATGGCGAGTTTATATAAAGCCGGTTGTTTCATGCGAGTACTTTTGTGTATCACACTACTTCACAACATCCCTCAGTGAAAGACAGTTTTGTTCCCAAGAAGATTGTGAGGTACCATATTCAATAACACAGTATGGGCAGTCTCGAGCAAAAAGGCCCAAGTAGTTCCTGTGTTCGACAGCTGTCAGCACCAGATACCTGACCGGTGCAGAAAAGCCCTGCAAGAAGCTACAGCCATGGGTGCACAGAGGAGTTTCCTCCCTCGTCCCCTAGCAGTTAGAGGTTGGCGTAAGCCCCACAACGTGAGTTTACATCCAATAGATCCAATTTTTAGTCTGCATGTGTTTCAGCATTTATAATAGTTTCCTGCATGCATCACAAAGAGAACGAACTGTGTTGGCTCTCATTTATATTAGAAAGGAGAGTAACGCTGTTTACAACTAAATTCATACAGTCGGGCCAGTACTTTCATCGGTAGTGATGCACATTTAAATTTCAAGAGGTGAAGTTATACATGCATCAGCTGAGTGAACGGTACCTAACAGAGTCTTTCATTGCTGGAGATATGACATGTGCATTCATCTCTTCTAAAGAAAACCTTCTGAAACAGAGCTCTTACAACAACCGTAGCAGCAAACCAGTAGAATAAAAAGGTGAACAGGCCTATGCAACCCTACTCAAGAGATTTTCTGAAGTGATTTGTACACATCTGGAAAAAAAGAAAGGCAAAACAAGATAGACATTACTGTTCTTTTTTGTGATAGGGTTTGCTAACACCCTCTGACCGGAGGTATCATTGTAAACTTTACAAACAGCCATCACGCAGGTATTTGCAGGAGCACGCAGACCTAGCTTGGCTCCCATGAAGACTACAATCAGGAGGGCGACTGCAGCACACGACTTACCTGTCCTATTCATCTCTGAAAACACAGGCTTCAGCTGACTGAAAAAGCTCGCCAGCTGCCCGGCGGCTTTTCGCAAAGCATTTACCAGTTGCATTTCTTAGGCAGAGCTGCCTCTGGCTCACAGCACTGGCACAACCTAGTCAGGCAGGTACGCCCGAGCCAGAATTGATTCTGCCGGCTAGAAAAGTCACAAATGTACTCGGAGCTGGTGTGAATGCTCCCACACTTCATGCAACTAACATTTAGAGGTACCAGCTGCTCGAGCTTCTTTCCAAAAAAGAGGAAAGAACTACTAAAGTTTGTAAATGCTTTAGTATTTACAGTGTCATTTTCAGGAATGTTGTAGCTTCAGTTTCAAGGATTGAGTAAAGTCACTTCTACTAATATATTAAAAATCAAATGAGAAATTTGCAGCTTGCAACAAAGTTTGTCTTTTAAACATAGCAGCACTTCCCCCAAATCTTTATACTGCTACTGTGACATTTTATGGAAAGTTCTCTTTTAGCTTTTCTTTTTAACCAGAGAATTGAGAAATAAGAGGTAAATATTATAGTTCCTTTACATTAGATATTCACAGACACATTTGATTTTGTTCCTGAAGTCCAGAAAAATTAATGGAAAAACTTAAAAGGATCTGAAAAACCTCCATCGTTGCTACAGAAGTGGCTGCAACCGTATCAGCCTTCACCCCCAGCACAGACCGCATTTTTACGATCATTCAGCATCATCCTGTAACTTACATAACACCATTAACATACTAATACGATTTTCTGGCTGGTATTGCAATACTCCTGCAATATTCTCTCCAGAAGGGTAAATTAAAGACAAACTTTTGCTAGTTCAGTTAGCAGGACTTTGTCAGGACTTCTCACCCCACTCAGAGATACGCTTTGCTTCACTTCCATCCAACCTGCTGCTCTGCTCGTAAATCGGCCATTTGCTGTAACGTTCCACTGATGTGAACCACACTGCGTATCTGAGGGCAGGGGAGCCACGCTTGTTACTTAAGACAGATGTAGATGCCACACTAGCTTAGCTGTTTTCAAGCAGCCTACACCGCTGAACAACAAATTTTCCAGCAGAATAATAATGTTGCTTTCAACTACTGCCACGCACAAAGCAGTCAATCTCCATAGGAGAGAACACAGGGATAAGAGATGGGATCTCCCATTCTGTGCTTTCTGCCCTGTTCCAAATATGAAATAAGGAGAATGTACAATCTATGTTCCTGTTTCAAAGGTTAATAAAAGCCAACAGAGGGGCTGAGCCTTCTGCACTCTTTTGCATCTCAACTGACCCTGTATTTGCCAACACAAACATAAAACTACCATATTATGGCAAAATAAAACAAGACCCCAGCAGACAAGGCACTGCACTGTTTAATACTGAATCCAAGACAGTGAAGTGATCAAGTTATAGTGTTTGTTTACAGACAGTCCTACTCCTCTCTTCCTGTTGTCCGTAAATCCCAATGAGAATGGTTCAGTTTTCTTTTAAATTGGATGAGGCAGCTTGTTTCACACCGAGAACTCTAAAGTCCAGGAAACACAACAATAATCTGAAGGATTAAGTGACTGAAAAAACACATAAATTATTTAACAGTGGACTTCAAACACATCCTGATTTGAAACAGGACTAAAATCTTTTGATTTCTCAGTGTAATACCTTACCAGGTGTTCATGGGGCTAGCATATATTCTATCCAGGATTCCCCTGTAGCACTGCTTGCTTACACAACACACCTATTTGTGAGGAGTTAAAAGCAACAACAAAACAGAAGATTGCCGAGTCTAAGCTCTGAATGTCTCCATTGATCTTGTGTGAGCAAAAGATTAAACCATTAGTTATGGTCATCTGAAACAGCAAATACATCTTCTGAAATGTATCAAGGTGGGAAAGAATGGAGCATCTTTCTTAACGTTTTACCGATTTATCAAGGACACACTACCTGCGTAGACAGGTTTTGGCAAGATCTCTCCTTCCCCTTCCAAACACACTAACTAAATGACGACCAGGTTTCAATCCAAAAGGTCCACAGAACACATTAGGCTCTGAAAAGCTACCACACTGAGACACAAACCGGCAGTCTAAGTATTTCCCATATAACATTCCACTGAATCAGTTTGGGACAAACAGCTGACTTGTGAACGTGTCCGAGATGCCACCTGGATATCTGAGGAGAGCCCATGTTATTCCAAATGGCTTTGTGTTTCCTGCACTAAGTCGGGTGTGCAATGGCAGCGACAGTTGAACAAGCGCTGTCTAGGAAAGGCTGCATTTCCCCTCTAGTTTTACAGTCTACCACACTATCCTTCTCTGATCAATAAAAAGCACGTTTTGCAGTACAGCAAGCCGCATTAGTCCACGTACGAAATAATGCACCTCGTGGCATTGTACAGACTTTTAGAAGGCTCTATCTGCAACACAGAGCTGTTTCAGGGTTGGATATTTCTGTGAAGGCAAATAAAGTAGTAATAATAGTATTAAATATAAGTCATAGCACCTTTGGCATTTTTGTCCAAATAGACTTCAACATACGACGTAGGGACATAGCCCTCCTCATCTTCGTTCCTTCGGATTCGTGTCCACCCATCGCCTTTGTCTTCTTCTATTACATAGAGCATTTCTCCTTCTGCTACAGAAATTGTTCCTTCATTCTGACCTGAAAGACACAGTAACACGGCGTTCAGGCTGTCCTGCACAATGGGAACCGCAGATGCAGCAGGAGGGTGCTCAGGGCACACTCCGACAACGTGCTAATGCAACCTTCATTGCATCACTAGCACAGCATGAACAAGAACGCGTGATTCTGGAGATGGCAGCATGTACACGAAGAACCTGATGAATGTGATCCTGACATCAGTTTTGGGTTTGGTTTTTGTTTTGTTTTGTTGTTGTTGGTTTGTTTGTTTGTTTTTTCCAGAGTCCATGCATAATGGGAGACAAATCACTGCCTTAGCGCCTCTCTAAGAAACAGAATCATGCCAGAGCCTCACTCGCCCTTTCTTTGCCTATTTAAGCACTGCAGGGGTTAAATGAAGGTTTCCCACTTGTCCTTGGTACATGAACTAAACAAAACAGTAAGTGAAATGAGAGTAAAGGCTGAGTGATACCTTCAAATGTATAGAGCGCTTTACATGTTCCTATGGTGGGTAGTGGTTCTTCATCATCAAATTCATCGTCAAAATCCGTTGCCGGTACTTTCATCTCAGTCTCCTGACTTTGCTCTTCTGTGTAACTGCCATCTGGGCTGCTCAAGAGAGGAAAATACAGAGCAACTATAGCGACCAGTCTCAGGAGCAAAGAGAATGACTTAGTTACCAGACACTTAAGGCAAGGTGAGCGACTGTAGCTGGAGCAGCTCAGCAATTCCAAAGCATGCTCAGAACTGGCTGTTACACTAGCAGCTGTCACAAAGCGATGGGTGAGACCAGGCATTTTTCCCATCAAAAGCTGTAAAAAATGCACCTATCTCACTCACCTTCACAGCAGTGAGTGTAGGGGGCTATTATACATTTCATCACATTCAGAAAAGTAGCTCTTAAAGTTGGGATCTTACGTATGCTAAAATCAGTATGTGAAACACTTCACGGAGTGCCTGCCTTCAGTCTGGTTACAGAATGAGTTTCTGAATGCTGCAGAGCTACAGTTTTCCTGATTAACAAGCTAAGGAAAGCAGGTTCAATTACCAATCTGAACAGGACAGCTCTGTACAGATACTGTACCTCTCCCGGTCCTGCGCACAGCTGTTCACTGCTGAAGTGTTCTGGGCTTCATACAGTCCGCTCTGCCGCCGGGCCTGTTCAGTCCGCATGGGTAACCTGCCCTCCACCTCAGCCAGCCAGCCCTGCAAGGGGAAAGCAGTCTCATGCATCTCTCATGCTTCGACTTGCAAGGGGATATGTTGCTTTTACTTTGCTGCGTCATATTTGACATTCAGACTATGGAACTAAAACCAGATTGTAAACGTATTTAAATTTTCCTTTGGGCTGCAGTTGTCAGGGGGAATAGATTCTGTACTTTAAGTGTATATTAAATCTATCGGTCTTGCCAAAAAACACACTTACTGAAAACTCGATTCTTTTTTGACACCGGGTGCTGAACACACTGTGACCCAAGAGAAGCAGTTAACAGCAGCTGTTGGGAGATGCTGCTGCCCTAGTCACAATAAAGTAAAAAGACATCTGGCATCTTATAGTAGTCTCAGTAACACCAGAAACAGCAACCTCAGTGACTGCTGAATGCAAAAGAGGACTAAAGCTGGGGAGAATGAAAGACCCAGTGATTTTCAAATGGATAAGAAAGCAGTGGATAGTGAAGCCAAGAACTGTAAGAAACATCTAAAATTAACAGGCTGTGTCTATTTATGCACATAGCGTAACTTACAGAGTGAAGTCTTTTCTCAGCCCTATAATCCTTCTTGTGTAATTATAATGGCTTCATATATTCCAAATACTCCTTATGCTCTTGAGATTTTGTATCTCTAAGAAGCTTCCTGTTAATGGCAGACTATTCCTTAAAACATATTTTATCTGAAGGCTTCTGTCTTGCTGTTAAGACTATAAATGGTGCTTTACATTTATGTTCCTCTCATCTTCCACAGACATCTGTAACGTGATGCTTCAAATTATTTAATTAAATAAGCACCTGAACCCCTCTGGGCAGTCCAGAGAGCACTACATTTCTCTTATCCACCACTTAGCACAATTTGTTTTCTGTGGCAAATTAAACAGCAGGATTGTTGGCTGACTGTCACAGGAGATGGTACATATTTATGTTACACAAACAGGCTCAAAGATCTCAATTAATGCAAGTGCTCAAGTAGCACTCACCCATACATGGTAAGAAAATGCATCAATACATCTGGAAAAGCAGTGAAGCATCTGCTTAGAACTGAGCATATGCTGAGCTACGTTTTACTGAAACGTCTCTTCCCATACCTCAAATTTCTGAACTTCTAATCGTAACTTTTCAATGTTCTGTGCAAGTTCTGCTAATCTGTGGTCCACACTCGCTGCGTCTCCCATCTGTGGGTTCTTGATATACACATCTTTCATTTTCGTTAAGGCATCTCTGAGAAGAAAAATAAAACATGTGTTAGTGTGGCTGGGGGAACATGCTTTTCTCTAAATGAGGGCAAATGAAAGGATAATAAGCTGCCTCTTCTTTACTCTGTGGTTCAAGCCTAATCGGCTACAAGGGTAACTGAGAATATCCAGACAGGGCCTTTTGCCCTGTATAGAACCAGCCATTGAAAAAATAACAGTAAAATCACTTGCCAGAAGAGAATTTACACTGTCAGAGATGGGAAAAAAGTGAGTGATGCCTTTGCCTATGATGTGACATGACAGAGACACTGTACACGAGCCAAACTCTTCAAGCCCCTACATTAAAAGGAGCTCCTCACTCTACAGGCAGCTGAGGGTTCTTCACGTGAGTGAGGGTGGCAGGAGGATCGCGAGGGGCAGGGGGAATAAAATTTCGCAATCATTGCAATGAGTGACAGCTTCAGCTTTCTAGATTAACATCATCCCTGTTTTTGGGGCACAGACAAACAGTTGCATCATTATTCTCCACTGTGGGCTGAAATCCAGTTGAGAAACTGGGACAAAAGAGCTGGACGTGGATGTATTAATAATAAAAATGGAGTGCTAACCAGAAATTCTCACCCTGCCTGTTGCAGTTTGTCTTTTGCAACCCAAATCATTTGTAAGATATTTATTTCACACTGCTTAAAACCGAAGCTAAATCCAGATGGTTTGCATTTGTCACAGCACAGTGACAGATGGACCTTAGGCCACATAATGCGACCTTGCATCCTGTTAAGTTATACAGCATTTTTACTAGACTCTTTCTGGGGGCTGTGTTTTGTATCAACCCAGATGCCAAACGCCTAGGGTTTCAGAGATGTTAATTTTAAGGCCTGCTATGATGAATGTGGTACTGTAAGGCCAAGATTAACGTAGTACATGCCTTCATGAGCTCCCTTAGGAAAGCCTGCGGAGCTCTCACTGACAGCAGTGTGCTGCCTTTGACCTGAGTCAAGTTGAGGCTGAACTTGAAGGAAAAAAAAAGTTATCTGCGCGATGATGAACATTTCAGAGCTTAGAGAAGGGCGGACTTATGAGCTGATTTCCTGTATTACTGGCACAGCTATTCAGCTTTTCTCTAGGCATTACTTGGGGGAAGAAAGGTTAACGTGAGTCCCACGACTCAAGTTAACACTCTTTATATTTGAGAGTTTCCCACCAAACTCTTGACAATTGCAATCCTGTGCCTGCCTTTGCTTTGTGTGTATAGAAAATGGGAAAAAGTGTGGGTGGCAAGGAAGTGGGACTGCTCTGTGGTTGAAGCCCTAAGGGATAATATTGCAAACATATGAGTCATAATTATTACTATTTTTTAACTCTTATTTAACTGCTGGTGCTACTTCCTCAATCATATACTATCTTTATTTAAAATAACTTCATTCTGCTCTGATTTCGTATCTGATTTTAACATTGGGTTACCTCAGAATCAATACAGAGCAGAAAAAAAAATCTGTACAGAGACAAATGTAAGTTACAACAGAGGAAAAAAACAAAGTAGTGAGAAATCATATAATCATGTGCAGTTTGCCTTTCTTATTCATGATATAAAACATAAAGAAGAAAGTTTGGGTTACTCGACCAAACAGGTTCTTCAAAGCAAGTTAGCAGAAAATGTAGGCACATCTGTACAAATGCAAAGCAATACTGAGGGATAGACTGGTACCGGAGAGTCTGATTTCGCTGATTTTAACATTGGGTTACCTCAGAATCAATACAGAGCAGAAAAAAAAAATCTGTACAGAGACAAATGTAAGTTACAACAGAGGAAAAAAACAAAGTAGTGAGAAATCATATAATCATGTGCAGTTTGCCTTTCTTATTCATGATATAAAACATAAAGAAGAAAGTTTGGGTTACTCGACCAAACAGGTTCTTCAAAGCAAGTTAGCAGAAAATGTAGGCACATCTGTACAAATGCAAAGCAATACTGAGGGATAGACTGGTACCGGAGAGGCTAAGTCTTGAAATCATTCAGGGAAGAAAAGTTCTGTCTCTTGCAAACATAACATGCTGAATCTTTAATGCAACCGCAGAATGTGAACAAACACAAAGCAACAAATACAGGCTGCCACAATCAATAAAAGATGTGTAACTAAAATAGCCTTATTCTCAACCAGAATGATAAATGAAGCCTTGTAGAAAAAGCATCCACAAAAGCATAGGACTCACTACCTTTCTGCTTCCACGAAATATAAGCTACAGATCAGAGAGTCTTAAGATACACACCAATCAATCAGCACTTTTGATGATGTTAACATGCTCATAATAGTCACTCTTGCTGGGACCTACCCATGCCCATCATACAGTAATAGGCACTCTGCTTAGTGCTGAGAGACGTCTATGATTGTACCTTTGACTGAGGCTGTATTTACCTCCTGTACTTTCCTATAAAACACCCTCAGGAATGGCTCACATCAAGAAACAAACTTAGTATATCTAACAGCAATCTTTGTCTGGCTCACGATTAAACTGCTGCTCTCCCGTGAAAGCCCAAGAAAGAAGGAAAAATTGTCTCTAGTTGCTTCATTTATATCATTCCTATCCTTATACTAGGATCTTCTCATCTCATGATTCCCAAGACAGGATATGCATTACACTGAGGTGGGAGAATGGAATAAAAAGAAAGCCAGCTTTTGCCCCAGCTCCGACCTACGTCAGCCAAAATTACATCACCGATTTCAGAATCTGTGCTGTGCAGAGCCTTGCATCTCTCAGATGTTTTTAGCCATATGCAACCTCTGATTCTTTTTTTTCTTGGAACAGTACCTTAAACAAACCTAGACCCTTGTCCTTATTTGCTCTTTCTTATATATTGCTTGTTTCTGTTCTCCTATATAAGACCACCTATTTCATTTTTCATTGGAGGGGGTTGACATACCTTTGATCCATTTCCTTCTGAATGTCTTTGTTTAGTTCATCAACTTTTTGCTGAAGTTTCTTTCTTCTTTGCTCAGGTGGGAGATTGCTGAAGTCCTCTGGCCCTGCTCCCTGCACAGAGTGGAATGGAAGAAAAAAAAAGAAGAAAAATCAGAGCCTGAAAGAATCCTTCAGGATTGCATTTTGAAAAGAGCTCACAAATGTCTGTGCAAAATCACAATGGTCTGAAGCATTGTTATTATTTGTACCGAGAGGTATCTGTTAGCAATCTGGATGCCCTAGAAATAATCTCAGGACCACATCCCACTTTCATACCAAATGGCTAACGGGAGATCACCAACTAAGGAATGCCAGAATTCAATGGCAAAGCCAAGAATCTATTTTTATCCATAGTTATCATCAGATTTTATTTAACAGAGTTCCATTCTCATGCTGATCCTTCCTGCCTTCCCTTACTCTGCTACAAACAGCATCCCCACAAAAGCAGTTGCTAGATTTTACTCCTGTGTCACAGTCGCGCTTCTCATGTACACTATAAATTGCTTGCTTGGTCTGCGTAGTCTGAGTGTTGGTCCAATACGGTTAATTTATGTCAGGGCTCTCCTTAACACACTAAGGTAACAGAAGCACTTCCTCTGGCATTCTGCAATTTAAAACCACGCTGCATACTTTCCAGGATCCACATTCCATGTCAAAGTGTCTCAATTTTTCCTCTCTCACTTGTTCTAGCATAACAAATATCAAAGCCATAGAATCAATCAATTTGAAATCATAGCTGAAGAAAATATTTGAAGACCACAGTGGTTACCTTTGAGTGATTCTGCTTGAAAACCCCTTTTCTGCCTTCAAACTGCTATGCTTCTTCTTGATTGCCTCAATTTAATATAGCAGATAGATGACATAAAATAAATCCATACTATTTTCTTCAAAGTACCACCTATTTTTGTATGGATTTATTTTATGTCATCTATTTTCTTCAAAGTACCACCTATTTTTGTCTTGCAGGAGGGCAAGCGGGACAGTTTGGGTGGGCTATACTGAACACACATCAATACTAATTAGTTGCACATAAAGGAATGAAGTTCTTGTACATTATCTTGAATTTGTACAGGTTTTTCTTGTTTTGGTTTCTGCTCATTCCATGTCCCATTTCTAAGGGGGAATACCGGCCTATGGGAGAAAGAAGGGTAAAAACACGCAGCTGAGTAACCAAATTCAATGGCCCATCAGCTTACTGATGCTCACAGCTTGTGAGCAGAGTTGCGACATGAGTCTTACTAAAATGCCAAATCTCTCAGAGCAGTGTGATTTAGTGGACACACTGCCACAAAAGCTGCCCGTTAGACCCTTTCAACTCCGCACTGAATGTGCTCTGAGACAGCGCGCTCTTTTCTTCTGCATTTACAGAACAAGCTGTTTACAAGAAAGTGTGTGGGTGTCAGAGGGATGGAGGACAACTACAGACAGGTCATCTCCTCCTCTGGTCTAGCAATTTCAAAATAGGAGAACGGGCAAACCTAATGAAATTGCTGCCATATTGATTTTCAGTAAAAGATGGCATATGCACCTAGTTAAGGATCATCTGTGTAATAATACACTTAAAATTCCATTTCATAAGACAATGAGAAAGCAAATTTAAGACAAATAAAAAAAACAACTAAATAAGTTACACTCATTCTAAAACTCCAGCTACATGAAGTCCTAGCAGTGCTTACGTTACCTGCTGTGCATGGTACAGGAGAGATCTATTTTAATTCATTCTTTAATGATAATATTTTGCTTTCTAGTAACTCCCACATCACATTAGACATGAGAATGATTCAATATACTGTACAGATAATCTACACACTAAAGCCATACACCTATCTTTTTAAGGCAAAGCATCTGGATGTAGCTTTGTAAATAAGCAGTTACAAGAAAGACTATATAACATATTCTTCTCAACTCTAAGCAGAAGAGACAGAGATGATTAATAATATCCCCAGTTATACATTAGGAGAATGCAACAGATGTAGTCAAATGAATCTGGAAAAGCGTTTTCTTTTTGATTCTTCAACTTCATTCAAAAGCTCTAGGCTGGACTAGATTCAGTATCTTTGTTCACAATGCTTCAGACCAAAGCATTAGTGTTGCATAGAAATACATGCCTGAGACTAGGAGGTGATCGCACTCAGACTTTATTCCATGCTCAATAATTTCCCATCGTAACAGAAGCTACAGTTCCTCTTCCAAAAGGAAGAGTCAAGGAGCAATTTTTGCACATGCTGGGCACATTTCATGCTCTCAAGCAAAAACACACCTGGGCTATCTCTCAGGTAGTGAACATTGCCTACATTTTTAGAAATGCTTCGACAGTGGGGGGGGGGGGGGGGAAATCTGTGCTTTTTTTGATGTGTTATAGGACCAGCAGAGCCGGTGCTCACTAGATTTCCTTGCATAAAGATACTGGGATTTAGGATGCAAATTGTCCCAAGATGAAGGACTGAAAAAAGAGGCCGTGTTAGGACCAGTTTCTGGGCTGAAGCTACATATGGGGAAAGCATGAGGTTTATCAGCCCCAGTTTCGGCTCTTGTACAGCTATGATCCGAGAGGAAATTACGAACAAGCCGATTTCCTCCACCTGAGGCGCACATGGGTCTCAGCCCTCTCTGCACATCTTTTTGATTTGTGCAATTCTTGGGGAAAGGTCAGGTCAGCCATTTATTTTGGGAGGACTTATTCCTACGTACAAAGGCTTAGCTCAGCTACACAACATACTAGCACTGCGACTAGGAAAACAACAAATGGAAATCCCTGGTATAAATGTGTTGGACTACCAGCCAGAAGAACAAGGTTTGCACGTAAGCTAGAGATTTCCATCATTCCTCAGGCCCACCACAGGTCTTCAGTGAGAAGCAATATTGCCAATGGAGCCCAAGCAAGTCACTGTTGACAGAGCAGCAGCAGGACCCGGAACCTCCAGAGCTACAGCAGGTAGCCTTCACGGCCCATGCATTTCCTCCGAATAAGCTGCTGTGAACAGAACAGGTCCACAATGATGTACCCAAGAACAATATATGTGTAGGGTGGAGAGAGCACCTAAAGGCACTGACTGGTGAGGAATAAGAAAACTTTCAAGCTAATGCAGTTAAGGTGCTACTGCAGATCCTCTGAAGCTCTCCGAAACTGCAATCAGTCATTTGCAGCTCTTGCATGCTGGCATGAAGTGGGTCAGCAAAACAGTCGCATTCTCCTTGTGACTGGGCTCACGAAGGGCAAAGGAATGTAGACAAGCTGTTGGCAACATACCAAGGTGTGGAGTATCTCAAGCAGTACGGTACCTTGTGTATGAAGTTCAGCACATAATTTGCTTTCCCAAATACGTTCACCCCTTCCCTTTCCAACTCAGTAACATATTATCTTACCGTAGTTCAAGAAACCTTCCCAGCTGCATCCAAGATAGAATTTAGGATTCATATATATATATATCTCCATTTGTGAATTCAAATCAGACTGAGTTAACCTTGTTGGTTAAGGTTTACAGAACTTTAATTAATATCATTATTAGTTATTCTGAAGGACTACATAGGGCTGTAAAATGTAGGTGATAATGATGCAGATTTCCAGTAACACCTGGACATGGAAAGCAAACTTTGCTGCTATGTTACACAAAGACATGCATTTCTCTCTGGAAAAGGTCCAGCAACTAGAGAGACCTTTATTTTTTTTTTTTTCTTTAAATGTTTTAACATATACTTATACAGTAGCAGAATTACTTGATGCTGTTTTTCTACATTTTCATAGCCCTAGATTATAAAAGTGAAAACTAAATTATGTATTAGAGTTAATTTTTAGCAGCTTATTAGAAAGACTGAATTCTGATCACCTCTATTAGACTCCAGACCTGTGTATTCAGAGTTATCTGATAAATATCAAAAAAAGCAAACACAAAGAAGAAACAAATTTAACAGTTAATTTCAGTGTCATATCATATGTGGCACAGTGCACATTAAAACACACACAGAAAATTGTGATTAAAACACAGGACAGGCATGCTGTAAATGTGCTTACCAGCTTGAGAGAAAGCTTCATGTAAAAATTGGAGAGATACAGGGTGGGGGGAGAAAGAGAAAAAAAAACAACAGTGCATCAGTAGAAGAGGAACTTTTTCAGACTGACGTTACAATAAAATGACACACAATCCCCTTTGCTGTTGGAAGGCAAAATGGGTAACACTAACAGATCTGTGCAAAAGTTCACAAGATGGGCTAGCGTTCTCAGTCAGCTGCCATTTCCTCACCAGAAACAGAAATGGAAGAGTGTTGTACCTCTACGCATGTGCTTTAGCACTGCAGGTGAAAATCTGGCCTGGATTGCCTTATTTACAGCGGCTACAACAACAGAGATTTTTCGCATTACAGTAACACCTCTGAAGTGGAAAAAACCTCAGAACTTGCAAATGTATGCAAGTCACTTTAGATCAAAAATGTGCTGAAATGCAGTCACGAGCATCAGCCCCTTTACGCAAGGGCTTAAAGAGAAGGGGGGATAACACCTAGCCAAAACTCAGTGAAGAGGTAAGGTACTGCACTTGGCCTCCAGCTGCAAACAGCACGATGGGATCTCCAGCGATCTCCAGTGATTTCCTAGCTCTCAGGCCTATGTCCAAAGGACAACATCCCTCAAGTATCTCCATTGATTGTGTACAGTGCTGTCCGGGCAGTCACGTAAAGTCATTTCATGTTCTTAACAATTCAAAAAGCAAATACTCAAACGTACTTTGGCAGTACAGTCAGACAAGGTCAGGACCAAGAAGAAGGAAAAACACCTTCTTCTCTTTACACCGAATAGATTCTATGCCAGCATAGTAAGACATTATTCAAGCTCCTTAAACGATATACGTGATCTAATTCTTCAAAGGTTACCACATTTCCTCGTACAGAGCCAAAACATTATCTTTAGTCTCTTACCTTCCCAGAGTAACTAAAAGTGAAGTGCATGCTTAAAGGGCCTACAGAGCAGCACAGTTTGCCTTTGCCTTACATCACTTGCACGTACAGCTCTCCACAGCACTGGAGAGCCTCAGAAGCTGCCAGTGAACAAATGTGCCCGGGCAGCCGACTACCAAAATTACCAAAGCCTCTTCCAGTGTTGCACAAGACGTTATGACAGCTGCAATTCAGAAGGTTTTCCAAGAGACAGGGAGACTAACAGTGCTACAGCGCTTTCCTGTTCTGTGCCAAGGAGCACAAGTTAGCTGCTGTTCAAGATCTAAAGCCAGATTTTAAAGGGAGAATCAAAACTACACCCAGCCTCCTCCTTCAGCAATCTGCACTGTGCCAGTCCTACCAGCTCTTGGGAACAGTTGTGAAATTCTCAAACTACGCAATGAACTTGTAAGTGCATAAACGCACGTGCTCGGTGTTAAAGACAGTTGAAACAAAAAAGTTGGAAAACGCCTCTCACTCCAGGCAATGATCTGCACTGTGAGATTTCTGAACCTCTTTCCATTCACGAATTCTCCGTTATTTCACTACCAACAGCTCCTGAATATGATGCTCTTAAACAGACGCTCCATTTTTAGCAAAAGCACAGTTCTTTAGGACCGGATTGAAAATAAAGGTGGCTCCACACCTATGATGTTTTTGACAGCATGATTTAAGAAATAGACATTTTTCAAAAATAACAGTTCCCAGTAGTTACCAGAATTTGTACAGCAATACATGCCAACCATTCAAGGAAAACATATGGTGTTGCAATAAATACTGAAATACTCCATTTGAACTGATGCATTCAGTGACAACGCAGCAGTTAAACTTCCCTCTGAAGTTCAGTCCATTAGGAAGTAAACACATGATAATAATCACGGTGCAATGAAGAACTTCACTCTCTCAGCTATGAGGCCATTAAAAAAAAGCAAACAAAACCAATCCATTTGAGACAATAATCATACAGGAAGGAGAAAGAATGAGCTGAAATACGTTGCTGAAGAAATTCAGCGTAGGCAGCTTTTGTTTGCATAATTGCTTTAACACTCCTGTGAACTTTAGCATAGACATGATCAGCACAAATTGAGATCCTTGTACATATATACAGACAAGACTCATGGTGCAGAATAAATATTTACCTATGAAGCACTCTATAAAAGGCACAAATGTATGCTACATGCGCTAGTTTCTAAACACTACTCACTCTAAAGGCGCTATACTACTGCAAAGAATCATCTGCATCAAGACTATTCTTTTGCTGTAAATTCAGCAAATTTGAAAAGCATTATAGACGCTGTATGCCGAATTATTACGCTGTTAAGTATGACAAAAATAGAAAACTTATTAATAGCATTTCCAAATAGTACATCAGGGATTGTTATAACCGGTACAAGTAACAAAGCAGATCATAGACTGGAAACAATGAAATGCTGAAATGTCATATTCAGTTTTCCATTTCTGAAATGTATTCATAATTTTACATGACAGCGATTCAGTTTCTATAAACAAATATAAGCAGACTGAAAATAAATCTGCATTGAACACTAAATAACTACTTTTGCCCATTCTGTTGGGTTTTCACAGCTAGAAACTTGCTCACAGCTCTTGGGAGAACAGGGCCATTTTTCCCCCAAATGATCAAATACATTACATTTCTTCAAAATGAGCAAATCTGTTTCAAGCTGTCAGTTTAAAACAAGCCTAGCTTAGTCTTGCAGGGAAAAAATGAAGAGCCTAAGAGCCACAAGCTTCAATAACACATGAGAGAGCATGAAGGCCAGCAAGTCCATGTGTTATTGGACAGTCACGGACACTAACCTCACTTACAGAAAACAGGGTTGAAATAAATCACTGGACTTTCATACAACCAAGAGGTAATTTTCTTTTAGTGGTCCTGTAACAATCTCCCCATACTCTGCTTTATCCGGGTATCAGGTTTAGAGTTCACGTATCTTGATTCCATGAACTATCATCATTACAGAGAGTTCAGGGAAGCTTCATTCAGAAAGCTCCACGGAGTGCGCCACAACCAAGGCGCAGAACGTGTCGCTGCACTGCTGTAAATCAGGGGTTGGCTCATGGTGCTCAAGACTGCATTCATAAAGTAATTCAGAATAAATGCATGGAACCTGTTTGTAGTACTTACTCTGAATTTCACAGGTCCAGCTACTTTAATTGTGCCAATTTCAGCATTTCCAGGACTAGCAGACATATCTTTCCTGCACATAACACAGTAAGCTGCAACTTGCCTCCCACCAAATTTTCCTTTTATCTTTTACGAAGCACATTTCCACAGCACACTCTTAACGGCGTTGTAAGTGGGGTTAGCGACTGTGTAGCAACGGTATGGGCTGATCACACCATACGCGGACTTACAACATATTCCCTAGCCTCAATGGCACACGTGGGTGTCCCTAAAGTCCTCTTCATGAGTTCTTTGTGAATATACAAAGACTGTGTCTGCTGGTGAGTCAGCAAGAGAAAACACACATCCGTTACACTGGAGACGAGCACGGCACCTCTGTGTTTACTGCTTCTACAGCAAAAGACAGCTTGGCATTTAACTAGCCTTTAAGTGCAAAGTGGAAGCTTCCTAGAAACTAGGCAAATATCGAGAGTCTAGCATTCCCACAAAAATCAGAAAATACCGTATTTTTTAAATGCTAGCTTAAACACGCAAGGTCAGAAAACATGTGTCTCTGTGTGCTAGAATAAACCATGGCTTTAATGACCCCACCCGCCAAAAAATCCTGGTCTTGGCACAGATTTATATACTTATGTTAGAATAACAAGTATTCCCAGGGGCAGGGAACAGAGCAGGTACAAGAGGGGGTGGTTCGTTTTGTTTGCTGTTTCTGCATGCTCACAGAACAACAAAGACCAACAGCTAAGTGTCAAGGGAGAAGACTGCACAGTATGTCACAGAGGCAAGACAGAATGGTAAGGGAAAATATAACCGGTGCAATGGAAATAAAATCACATTGTAATGAAGTCAACAACTTCCACTAAAAAGGAAACCACAAAAGTCCCTCCGTGTGCCTTATGGAACCGCCCGGAGGCTGGAACTTAGGTAATGACAGTCTGCGTATCGGCTCCCAGACCCATCCTCTCTGCTTAATCACAACCCAGTCTCCGAGGTAAGAGGAAAGGCAAGTCTGCACAACGCAGTAATTCAAAGGTGTAAGTTCTACCCCTGGATTTTGTTAGTTCAGAAGTATAGCTCTTTAAAGGTGCTGATGTTACGGCTGCTATAGCAATAAAACAAAAGAACACAAAATTAATATCAACTAGCAGAATAGAGAGTCTTCTTTGTCCTCAAAACGGAATTAGAAAAAGCAGAGCAAGCATAAATGAAATTATGACTTATGTAAGTGGTTCCTCATTTTTTCTACTCTTCTGGCTTTAACTTCCCTAAAGAGACAGAGTTGATTTTAAGTGTTATACTGCTTTTATACTGCCTTTTTAAAGAATTAGAAACAGCACTCAAAAACTGTGTAAAAAGACTTCTCTCCCCCCTCTTCTAGTTCTGATCCATGACAAGTGCTGTAACTGTTTTACAGAATTTTCTACAATGGACATTTCTGCTGTTGGGGTTAGAAGAAAGAAGCTTTGAGGAAAATACTAAAATGTGATTAGAAAACCACAAACACTGACAAGAGTCAGCACCTAAATTTTATTTTATTTTTTTTTTTAAAAACAGACTAGGATTTCATATTGGCAGTGACCACTGATACTGGTATTGGCGCCTCTACATTAACCTTGCATCTGTTGTAAATTGTTCAGGCATCTGCTTCCTTCCATGAAAACAAGATTCATTGGATTTTTGGTTTGGAAGCAAAATTAAAACCAGATTGGGCACAGGATATATCATTACTAATTATGTAATTCATTTTAACAGTCACCAGTGATTTTTCCGCTTTAGTTTCGTAATTTCTCTTTCCAAATGCAACTTAAGATGCTAACCCAAAGCTTTATAAGGAAATTACTAAAACATACTGCCTCTCTAGACATGTTCCGATATCAAAGATTTCATGGAGGAATTGTATGGGAATCCATTCACTCACTTATGTTTCAAGGATCAGTTACAACGTGTAGTTCTGCTGGTGGCATTTATCCTGTAAAGGTCTTAGTATCTACTGGACTTGTTTGCATTAAGCAGTTCCTTTTCATGCACTTCTTCCCTAAGCCAGGGCAAAAAAGGAGTATGATGCAGTTTTCTCTGAAATAAACAAATGGTTACCCTGGCTTTTGTAGGAGTTGAGCTCTGTTTATCAACAAAGCCAGGAAGAACCTGCTTGACAATTTGGTTGAATACTCTTAAAATAATACTTAAAATGCCTCGTGGCCACCTTTACTGCAAGGTGTTTGACTGGAGTGGAATTTGGTCTCTGAACAAAACCAGCAGCGCGGAGACAATATTCAGAGCAAATGAATTTATTCAGTGTCCAAAGCCAAACACCCGTTACATTGTACTGTCCTGCTGGCTCCCTGCACGACCTTTCCAAAAGTTGCTTCACTGATGTATTTCTGCACAGATCAAATGTTCTTCTGTGTAGAGGACAGTTTCCCTCTACGTCCTCCTAATTTCTCTGGTAACATCACAATCCAGTATTCTTAACGTTACTGCTCATGCTCCTGAGCAAAATTCAGATGCTTTTGGATTTGGCAGGGGCATGGACAGGAATTTGGAAAAGGAAGTCTTATAAAACTTAATGTGGTAAAAGTAGAATTAACAGTATTATCTGGTACAGAATATAAAGGGGGTCATATCAACCACATCAGCTGAAACAAATGCCAACCACTCATTTTTCATCTGATTAATTAACAGGACTTGGGGGTGATTCTTGTTTTATTTTTTGCCTGGTTAGAATTATTTTATTTTTGAAGGTCATATGGCATTTTCATGATCTTTTAGTCTGACCATTTGTATGACAAATCACCAAGGACCTATGAAACTTGACAAGTTTTCAAATCAGACGGAGCAAGCTGCCAGAGCTTTGCAGCCTCTGCTACACTGTATTATCTAGATGAACCAAGTGGCCTGAATTCGCCCCTCTGGAAGAAGAGATGATCGGAACACTGGCCTCCAACTTTGCGGGATGAGTCAGGCAGGAAAAGTATTTACATACAAACATCCTGGTAGCTAACAGGGGAAGGAAATGAAATAGAATGATAACATAGTGAAAGGTTTAAATGAAGATTTAGCAATAGCCTTTCTCTGCACATTTTTAATGAATGTGTCAG